AAATAATACTTAAATGTTATCAAATTTTTGTAGGTTTCACAACTATATCTATTAATTTATCCAATTCACCAAAGAAAAACATACGACTCATTTGAACTTATTATTTGACAACATTTGGAATGGTGCCAAAATATTATATTAATATAATAACTTATATTAATTATCTGAAGTTATGCTCGATAAGGATATTTTTTTTATTGTCGTTGTCAATGGTTTTCAATACTAAAATCAATAAATGATCTCCAGAAACTACTGTGGAAGTAAGTATTTTCACTCTTATGCACAGAACTGCCATATTTTTTCTATCAAGATGTCTTCAGACCATGAGAAACACTAAATAATCGTTATCTTTTGAGATTCTGTAGACAGGAGTAAATTCTAAATTTAGAAGACTTCTCTCCCTTCAAGGGTTTTCCATACCTCAGATAAATACCAACTTTCTACAATATGTGTTGTCTAGTCTTTTGTTTTAGAAACCATGCATGCCAGCTGCAGTAACGGTATAATGGCCAAAAGATATGTTCCAATGATGGTGATGATAAATGAGTTATATAACGATGTTGATTATGACTGCAGTATAGTCAGATTATCTTGTTGGAAATGACTGATGATGATGATGATGATGATGATGATGATGATGATGATGATGATGATGATGATGATGATGTAAACCATTATGTGTGTAGTGAATGTTTGTGTTATGATGGTGTAAATTGATGTGTGGACAAAACAAAAATAGAAACGTCCTGATACTCATATCGAAGTGAAAAGAAGAGCATATTTCAAGCGCATTTATCTTGAGGTTAGTCGTTAAGTTTGGTTGCAAAAAAAGAAAACCTTAAACAATCAATAGCATGCCCAGTTTACATAACATACAACATAATGGGTTCTGTAAATGTACAAAATGTATATTCTAATTGTTTTTCTAAGATCCCATAAAAAGTACACGAATACAATATATTTTTACTGCTAGAAGTGTTGGTTTATATGAACAAATCACTCTTTTCTCTGAGATAAGTATGCAGGAAGAGAACTAGACATTCGGATTTCTCCTTATTGATTTGTCAGAAATGGCTTGATGTCGTGATCTGTTAACGTCTTATTCGGAACAGTTCATATTGATTCTTAAAGTTAGTTTGATTTTGTCTTTTCCGGTTTATGAAATATAGACAAAACCAGTGTATCGTACACTGAACTTTCCCTTTCTTTTGTCTCTAATTGCATTGACTATATGTGCCTTGGACAATTGAAGCTATAACATAAATATCATATAATAAAAAATAGAATAACAAAGGCTATAATTGTTTACAAGTAATTTCACATCTCTGAAAGATTGTAGAAATGACACAAAAGTGAATTCTTATTTTGATACAAATTAATAGTAAGTTGCATCTGCATTATATTGGCACATAAACTGAAGAAGGCTTAGAGGCAACTGAGGAAAATTTACATGGGTTGAAATAAAGGTTGAAAGTCAGATGGGAAAGTACATCAACCTAATTTTCAATATCGAAAAAAATTAGAGAACGTCAAGTACCTGCATATTCTTAAAATCATTTCCATACGTCAACGAATCTCCCAAAGAAAAGCCATACTTTCAATGCCACTCACCAAAGCACAGTGCGACTCAGCATCATATGCGTACATGTATTCCAAACTATGTCCTGTAAAATGTTGTATATCAGAAATATTCACTTTCAAGTAAGATTTCGAGGAGTCAAAATTCAGTCACAGTTGCTAATTTGGATAGCCAAAGAGCAGTAACGATCGAGGTTAATGTAGTTCAAAACACTTCGACACACTACAGAATAGATCATCTGCAGTATTTGGGTAGAAGGATGATATACGCTCAATGCAAATATTTCAAAACAAACTAAGATCCTTAAATATCTCTATTTTTTCTGTACCTGACGTGACAGTACCATTTTTGTAAGTAACATAAATCTAAGACATTTAAATGATGACTTGATGATGGTATTTGTAGATGTATTGAAAAGATGATTTAATGTTAGACGTATGTTGTCATTATTGCGAGACTTATTCATTTATGTCAATACTTAAGAAATGAGTTTAATTAAGAATATTTCAGCCAGATGACACTTATAACTAGCCTCAAAATATTAATTTAGCTGCAAGTGTGAATATATATATATTGGATTTTCCAATCATCTTTATCAAATTTGATATGATGAAAACATAGGAACAAATTTGAATAAATACAATGGGTTGAATATCCCATCGTTTTGTAGAAACCAATATAATTGGACTTCGATGAAGCAACTCTTAACCACAACCAAGGGAAAACCTAGACAAATGAAATTTGACATCTTAACCAAAGACATAACACGGCGGACATAACGAGATATCGCCTCGTGCGTGCTGAAAAATGATATTGATATTTGTCAACAGTTAAGACCGTGTCATATCTAACGATGTTGGGCATATCCCTAATGGTCATCCGTCTGTCTGTCCGATTTCAGATAACGACAAACATATGTCAGCGGCCGGAACATCTCCTTGACGATTCGGAATTCGTACTGAGACAATCGATTTTATAGCAGCGACAGCACTATCAGGTCGTATATCAGTTGAGTTAAGTGATAAATGGTACCTAAGTATTCAATAAAGCAAGGTGGGTTCCATTTCGGATATGGATCAAAATTCCCATTGCAAATTGTGAATGACAACAATCCAATTTTCATGAATTTATCTGTTTTTCCCAATGATTTAATTCTTGGAAACATAAATGGAAGATAATATTCTTCCTTTTCCGTTAGGAATGGGAACGTTATACAATTCATGACGTTGAAACTAAATCAATGTTAAATTAATCACATTTCTAATTATGCGTTTTCAGATAAAAGTCAAGAAAGTAGAATTAGTTTTATATATTGGCTATTTTGGTCTGGCCTGCTGGAAACGTGGTGGTGTTTCATTCCCGAATCAGATGTGAAATATTATGCCACATTCTGATTAGGAATTCTGGTTTCCACTTACATTTAAACCATTCATGTCGTGATTCCTTTTTTGTTAAACTTATAATCTTCCTTGTAATCACAACAAGATAATACCAACATATCAATATAATCAATATTCAGTCTGATATTCAATTAAGCCAAATATCAAGTAAAGAAAGATTTATATGGAGACTCCTGAAAAAGACTTAGGAGAATACGACCAGGTATTCCGAAAGAGTAAGCATCTTCTGCATCATTGACGACACCGCTATGTAAATCCTGCCAATCCAAGTGAATAAGGACACATTCTCAAATGGGAACAACGAAACAACGAAACTATCAGGTAGAAAACACGTCAAGCTTCATATCGCACAAAGAAAATTGACTTTTTCTCAATGAGATCACTATGACGGCCGTATAAAATCATCATTATTTTCATCAACATGCATCTTTTGAAACCAATCAGTTGATCTCTTCTTGCACGAAAATCGTGATAATGGGAATAGGCACATGGATATCAAATCAACTGCGACACGTAAACATCATAGGATTTTACATTTATCACCATTTATTTTGTTGTTCTGTTGTTGCTCACCTCGTTCACATTTTGGAACATGGCATTTTTGCTTGGTTTTACCAGCCTTCTAAGGCCGGCGTCAGCAGGGAAGCAGAATATACTTACCTTTTTGGAACACCTGATCTCTTTTCCCTTGTACCATTTTCAGGAGTTTTTGTGTATTTTTCTCATTTTTTAAAATGGTTTGCCTAAGTTTCATCGAATTTGAGTTGAATTAAGAATTTGTTGACATGTCGTTTTCTTCTTTGTTGTTTTTGCAATATTTCACTTTTGTCTTTTTATGCTGTTTTTGATATCGTCCCTACCTTGCATGAGATGAAGCAAATCAAGGCATTTGGCTTCAATCTCTTGTTTCGAGATTTGTGTTCCAGTTGGGCGTAAAGTGGAATTAGAAAATGGTAGGCCTTGTCTATTTTAAGCTTGCTGATTCAAAACAGTGCTGATACTGGTGCAAATTGAGTTTTACTGGCGTCATTGAGGGCTTGAAATAGAGCTTTATTGCAGTTCGTTTTTTCGCTTCTTCTATGTTTGAAAATTGTGAAGAAGTGGACTTCTATATTTAAGACCAAAAAGATCACTTAGGAGAAAGATGTGTTTCATTAGATTTTTAAGAATCAAGTTAGAATGGAAAAGGATCACTAAACAACGGTTTATGAAATAAACAATGTATTACATTGTTATCGATTGGATAATTGAATAAACTTGTAAACAAAATATATTTTTGTGTACCATTATTCAATTTGGTTTATGCTGATATAAATTCACGTGATTTATTTAATTTGCCCACATTTTGTAGCATGTATATATCACTCAATATTTTTAAATGGAAATTGTACGCAACCTATCCTGTATTTTTGGGGTTATATATAGAGTCTTGTGTCATTCTCTAAGGCATTGACTTGATCTAATCTGAGACGACATTTTCGTCAGCATGCAGGCCTAAACACTATTACAAAGTATTATGGAGAGCGTTACGTGATCAATTATTCTTAACGCTATCATATGATACAATCAATTCCAATAAGAGCCTGTAAAATTCGATCCAGTAGCATGGAAGCTTCGTAAAATTATAATGTCTATTATAGAGCTCTTTGGGAGCTGTTTCAAGAATAGTCACTAAAAAGGGATTTGTGTCTTTTACTATCTTTTGAATGCATGTCAAAGCTGTCTCCTTTTAAATTTTAAGGGGTGACAAAGGCGTACGTCAAGATGAATAGAAAATATGAATAAAGATTGAGTAGATGATATTTTACACTATTTGTCATCTTTCTTTACTCTGTAAATCGTATAGAGAGATGAAGTTTTGATATAAACATGGAAATAATTACTTAAATTCAAGCCTTCTGCGAATAGCACTTCCATTGAAAAAGTTGAAACATTATCTGTGTGGCAGTGAAATAACTTGCATGGAAGATACTCAAAGATATAGGTAAAAAATGCTTTAAGTGGAATCAATATATATTTACCTGAGTAGTGGTGATAGCCGTTAGATCCAGAGTGGTCTGATCTAAATCCGTTACACTCCGATAAATATTCTTGTTTCGCTTTCTGAATAACATCCTTAACAAACTCGTCGATCAATTCAGAACTGTCTGTATCTACACTAGAACTTTTATTCCAAGACATTTTTAACTTGATTTTCCTTCCAGGCCCTTTCCTGAAGGCAGATTTGGTTGGTTCCTTTCCGACTCCATCCTCCATTGTCGTAGCTGATATAGAAATTAGAGTTTAAAGCAATCGTTTTATATATATCTTGTATGGGCAACACTTACATAACGCATTTGCCTTTTAAATTTCGAAAAATCTAGAGTAAATATACACAAAGTGCCGGAAAACCAAATCATATTACATAACGTATACAGTCATTAGCAAGGGATTAACAAAATAAGAAGCGTTCAGAGCAATCATGTTAAGCATAAACCCAATGTACGATTAAGCTACAATTTGCATTTGGAAAGAGTTAAAAAATATACAAAGAAAAAATTCCAGGATACATTTCATTTAGATAAGTTTGATGGACATTACTTTAGTTAATTTATTGACTTTAAAGTCATAAAGGTTTTCCTGATAATATGAAAGACCCTGTCTAATAGGTATGCTATTTATCTTCATCGAAAACCAACCTTATAATTATAGATTATATGTATGATAACTTTGTAAAACGAATACACAAACAATAAACTTATATAGTATAATAACTAGTCTCTGTAGTATCTTTTAAACGAAAGAAGTAGAATACGGATAACTTTGAAAAGTTGTATTTGCCCCTCAGTTAAATATCTGTACGCGTCCTTACTATTTATAATTATACGGTACAAAAGTCATCAGATCATGTTCTCGTTTCGAGCATTTTTATTGAACATGGATTGAAGCTGTCAATGACGGTATTGGTAAAGTTACTGTAATGTCATATATTTTCGTATGACTGGATTTTTTTCATCTATTTTATCTATTTACATACAATTCTGGCACTACCAGTATTAGCGAGCATTTTAAACCCTCGAAATAAAGGACCCACAGGAAAGATAAAAAACCACGAAGTTTTCGCACCACTAAAACATATGATTCTGCAGTAAGTAAGAAATCTCAGAGCAATGTCAATCGTCATGCACGATGTTTTCGTAATAAACATCATAGTAGTGTAATATAGGAAAATCAATTCGGAAATTGATTTCCTGTGTCACATTGACATAATAAGAAAACAAGTCTTACATATCTAGTACCTATAAAGTAATTATTCATGTAGCTAGTAAGCATTCGATTCAGCCGACAACTTCATCAATAGAATTACGTTTATAAATTCATTTCATTGATCTGGATGAATTCAGAAATGTTCGTGACAAGATATTAAATTGAGGCATCCGCAGCAGACAGAGGACGTCGCATACCCATCAGGAATGCCTGGTCTTCTGCGGGTTTTTTTATTTAATCGTAATTCTTTTTTATCATCATGATTGATTTAAATTTCAGCCTTACATTCTGTGACCCTTAGATTTTATACGCCATTTACCATAAGAACAAAGAGACTGGAATTCCTAATAACAAATTAATGGGTCGTATATCGCCAATATAAAAGTGCTAAGTAATTTCAAATTAAAGAATAAAAGAACCCGTGTATTTATACACATTAGGAATAGGTTATTTATAGATTCACATACTCGGTTAGGTTAAAGTATTATCATCTGTCGACTCCCTGAAAGGAGAAGCAATAATATGTTTTACTATTAAAAGCACGATGAAGGTTAATCACATCACAAAACCTTTAGCTGTTTAACGTTATTTGTGCCGTCATTCCACAACACTGTTATAGCTTCAATACTATCATAAGAACATAAAGAAAAATATTCAAACTTTATACAAAGGTGAGTATATGACACATATTTGATACTTACTTTCGATTTTTCGGAACCAAGAATTCTTGGAAGAGAAATCTAGAATTAAGATACTAAAGTGTAATCCAACAAAATTTCGAATTATTTTCCAATTTCTAAGTCAGACATTGACATTGTGATTCTGCTACATTCGTGCACCGTTAATACGACTAGCCGCTATATATCCTACCACATGCTTGTCAACACCCTAGCCTAGAATGGATCGTTATTTCTGTCGCGACTGCGCATGCGTGACCGTGAAGCTGTGTTAGATGCTATGGTTGATCGCGACACTGCTATTGTGCCATCTGTCAACTGAGTCCTTGGTGTTGGAATTCCTGATCAGCTTAACGCTTTGGGCAAGGCTGTTTTCTAGCTCATCAAACGATAAATGATGTTGTTTTTAAACTACCATAATACTTATAAAAAGTAAAGATATCGTATCTGATTTTACACATGTACAGTGTAAAATTTTCAAGAAACAAGCTCGAGATTTGAAATATTCCTTTTACAGTACGCAGTACGTTGATCATCAATTAGTACAGATGATATCGACCCGTTACGATCTACTGCTATATTACTGCTTTAGATCATATTGAGTACCTTGGGTTTGACTATATGAATAATGTATACTATTGTCACAACGCTGTTCTGAGGTATAAAGTAATATCACGGGAACTCTTTGGTGTAGTCTCTGTACATTAAGGATATTTGTTAAAGGGACAGTATGGCAACTTAAGGCCACAAAACACATATTGTAGATTTATCTTTTACCTTCTTGTATAAAGATCGTTAGGTTTACAAGAATGTATTTACTTTGAGAGCAATAATCATATTAAAAATCTATTAACAAACAGATTGTATATATACTACATACAATTGTGAATTAGATCAGTTTTCTTATTTTTAATGACTGCATTATCAAAACAATTTCTGAAACAAATGTTCTATGAATGAAGAATCGTTACCAGCTTATCAAAATTATATTGGACACATTTTCTTCAGAACTCCTTATGTATGAATACGAAATCTTAATAAGACCGACTAGATTCTACATTTGGATGATTGATAATATATACGTATCACAGTGTCGATCCCATAAAATCATTTGACAGTAGGTGCAAAAGGGCATCAAGGAAAATAAGAAATTTAACTCTTGTTAAACCCGACACCTTGTCACTGAAAATCTTATTTAATAACTTGTTTTCAATGATAATAGGTTTGAGCAATACAAATATCTTTTCATCTTGTGTCATTTGGAGAAAGTCGGATCTTCCTTTTATCATAAGCATTGACTTCCATGATTTTTTATTATAAAACTTGACCATGTTTAAAAAAAACAATAACACAAAAAATTAAAGCTTGTCCTACAAAAAAACGGTATATCATTATCATTTCATATTATAAATTATATTGCAAAAGAATATAACTGAAAGGACGAAAGATATTAATATGAATATTTATATGTGTACTTGTAGCAGTATATAAAAATGCAAACAATAGCGTAAAATATTAAGTATAACCATATAAGGTAACTATTGATAAAAGCCGACATGTGGGCTAAGTAAGGAGTAGGGGAAGTAACTCCTCAAATCAAAATAGATTTTCTGTTGCTTGACTGTTGACAGAGTATACACGCTGACATGGAACATAATTGAAAAAGAAACCATAGCAAGTCAACGGCAAACGTTTGAAAAAAAAATCTTTAAAAAAGAAACGAAAGTAACAATATGAACAAGGACGTGGAACAACTTATTGAAAAGACTGCCTATATGTTGAAATGGTGACACCACCACTGTTTGAAGAACAGTCCAAAGGTTTACAGCCTGGTAGTCATGAGCAGAGCTATTAGTGACGACAGAAATGACAAAAATAGTGTTTGAAAATACCGTAATTAATTGAGCATATAGGAAAAAGAACATTGAAGGAAAATATCTAAATTTATTTATTTAATTTATCATTGATGTAAATTTGTTGTTTGGATTTTACAATCACTCGTAGTTTAATTATTTCTCTTTAAATTGTTTTGTATTGTTTCGTGTGTGTTTTCCCCTATTATTTAGCGTGTTTTTGTTGTCTTTAGAAATTATTCATCACTTCATGTAGTTCTTATTTTTTTCATGTACAACAAATCAAACTGTCAAAAGAATAACTTCGTTTAAATCGAAACATCTTGTCTTCTTAATGAAATAGATGCTTTCAACATCTACATTTATTTAACCATTGCAAATATCAATTTGTGCTGTTGATTGACAATTCTTTTTGTTAAGCTGACATCATCCTTTCCCATCAAATTGACGTGACCGCGGTTATACTTATCACAAAAAGACATACCTATTCCATCTATCAAACCGAAGCAGTTTAGTAGTAGATTTACAACAGCAACAAAGGTACCAACATGTCAGAAGGAGAAGACCATCCATAACTTGTAACACATCTGAGCTCGTTCTACTCTAAGTTTACCTCGTCATTCAGTTAAGACTTAATAATTTATCGCTAACCCTTCTGTACGATACTATACAAACTTGCCATATTTGGTCAGTAATGTTTCATCATGTTAATAGCTGTATTGTATATGCCGATATAAAGTAACAACAATTGCAAACTCGACGCCAGGTTTTAGCTTTTATTCAGATGGTTATTCAATTAATGCAGTTAAATAAATAATATTTCTGTATACAGTTCCTGAGTTAGAGTGTGTGACTATATGATATGAAATCATTCTAAGCATTTATGTACAAAGTATACCTCTACAACACATGTATTTTTTTTGTTTTAAAGGGCACAGTAACATATCATTTTTCTTATCATTGATATCAGATTTAAGGAATAAAAAAGGAGATGATGATGTATTGAAAAGTAGATAATGCGACTTTTATCACTTGAGATTGCTAATGAACTTAAAGGTTCGTAATAAATCTCGTGTTCCACGTTAGAATTGTGGTTTAGAATATATACACAAGTTCATCCAGTGTAGTACGATAAATTGTACCGCCAACGCACTGATTCAATCATACAAACACAAAAAAATGTCTGGGATGGGAAAATTTAGGATGGAGCAAGGGGTTTACTTCACCATGGCCATGGTAAAGTGAAGTATTTCATTATTTTTTTTACTTATTAAATTTTTTCAACATTTTTTTGTTATCATCTCGATTCAATCATATAAACACACAAATAACAAAAATTAGGTCTGGGTGGGGGTAATTACCATGCTACACCAGTATTGAAATTTATGAAATATATTTGATAATAGTGTAAATGTATACCCTACCTATATTTTCAATTTTTTTATCCTAGCACATATGTATTATACAGTTTATTATTTGT